CCTCCCCTGCTGTGTGTAGGGGGAGATCTCTCCATGCTTGGAACCCTCTACAGACCCTGGGAAGTGGTTCAAGCTAAGCCAGGCCCTGCAGGGCATCTGGGAAAGCCTTGATGAGCAAAGAAAACCTTCTGCACTGAACTTTGGGAGGGTGCCAAGGATTTTTCCTGACCAGGACCAGCTTACCCACATTCGGGGGTCTTGGTTCGCCTACATGGGATCAGGGCCTCAGCTTTGGGAGATCTCTCTCGACACCCACCACCCCCAGCCTTTACCGTGACCACTCATGTAACCACCACCTGTTACCCTTTTCTCCCCCACCCCACCTGTCCACACACCCTTCCCCCAGCGCCGACTTCCAGGAACGCTTCAACCCCAGCGCCCTAAAGGACTCGGCCCTGTCCACCCACAAGCCCATTGAGGTGAAGGGGCTGGGCGGCAAGGCCACCATCATCCACGCACAGTACAACACGCCTATCAGCATGTACTCCCAGGATGCCATCATGGACGCCATCGCTGGGCAGGCCCAGGCCCAGGGCAGTGACTTCAGTGGGTAAGCACCGCTCCTCTTCCACGGTCACTCAGCGTCTCTACCACTCACCAGGGCTCGCCATCCATGGAGCCCCAGGGGACCAGGCCAGTGGGCGCCATCAGGACCAGCTTTCCTCCCTCACCTAGGAGCTCCTGGTGGCACAGCCCTTGGAGGGTAGCCAGCCTCCTCCAGGGCCCTCTAGAGCATGCTTGTCCTCTCTTCAGAACCTCTCTCACAATAAGTTTTAGGAGAAGGGTAGAGAAATGCAGGACACGGTGGCTCCTCAAAGTGCCTTTCACAGCCTTTGCATTTTCCCAGGCTCCATGAGGGGGCTGGCCTAGAAACAGACTTTGGCAATCCTCTTCACAAGGAGCACGTTCTGGAGAGCCCAGGCCTCTCACAAACTAAGCTGTTCTCTGGGGAGGGGGGAAGCGGTCGTGTTCTTCTATCGATGAGAGTTGACTCAAATACATAACAGGGTTTCAGACTTGAGAAGGAGCCTGACATCAACCATCCAAGGTGCTGTTGGCAGTCAGTCCCACTTGATGGGGGGATTTAAAACATCCTTGGAGCTTGGACATTTCCCATTAGCTGTGGTTGGGGAATTTAAGGATTAAGTGGGAAAGAACTGACAGAAAATCAACTGCGGATGGAAAATGCTAATAGTGCAAACATTAATGGGGACTTCTCTCTCTGTGTTGATGTTTCTCTGTGTGTGGGGGGGGGGGTGTCTGTCTGTCTGTCTCTCTCTGTGTGTCTCTATCTTTCTCTATGTTTCGTGTGTGTGTGTGTGTGTGTGTCTGTTGTCTCTCTTTCTTAACACACAGTCTCTTACTATGTTCTACATGGGAATACCAACCACAGTGTTGACTTAGAAAACTGGCTGTTTATCTCTCTGAGCAACAGCTTATTCCTGGGTCAGCAATTCATGGCAGAAAGTCTTAAAATGACAGCTCTACTTTTTTCTGAAGCTAGGAAAACAGGTGTTATAAGAGGGATTGAGGAGTTAAAAGGTCTCCGAGAGTTCCTACTGCACTTGGCCTTTCCAAAGACCAGCCTTGAGGCCCTGATGTACATGCAGACTGTAAAGGGCAGGCTACAGAGGCCAAAATGTAGAACCTTGCTGTGGACTTCCTGAGCTCTCCTGGTCCTAGGGAGCCTGGCGCCCCACCCAACCCCCCAGGATGCAGTACTTCTTCTGGGACACCAGGGGGCAGAGGCCACCAACATCTGGACAATCTTGATTTAATTCCACCATTCAAAGCAGAAAATATGACCATGCACACAACTATTAGCTCATGTGTATCCAGAAAAACAAGACTCCCTGACTAAGCCCAAGAGCTTAAATGGATTTCCTGTTAACATTTGTTTGCCATGTGTGTCCTTGGTGTGCTCTTAAGAGTGGTATTAGCTGCCAAAGGAAAGTGAAGTAGGAAATAATAGAACGACTCTTCACTAACCGTGTATTTTCTGCGCCTTAGGAAGACTGCTCTCATTTGGTTTTACCACTAGGGCAGGTATCCATAATTTTTGGAACATGATGCACTATGGATCAATCTAGGCTTCTCAAAGGACCTTTCCCATCTGCCTCCTGTCCCCTCACCTCCCCTCCCTTTTCCTCCCCTTGCGTGCCAGGAAAAGATCCTCCTCTCCCCTCCCTTTTAACGCAGGCACGCTAGGCTGCCGCTGCCGTGGTGCCTAGGGATAACCCTCTCGGCCATAACGTGCTCCCATTTCTGCTGTTAATTTCCATGGTTCCTTCCTCACTGACCATTTTTTTTTTCTCTTTCTCTTCCTCCTTCACCCACCCCACACCCATAACTCATTTCTGACCCTAACCCTGCTCTCTTGTGTGCGCCACCCACCCCTCTGCCATCCCATTGATGGACGCGCACTCACGGCTGGGTTTTCCTCTGCTTGACAGGGCGTCGCCACTGGCGTAAGTAGACTCTACAGTGTCTGTCCCGTCGTCCGTCCGTCTGGCTGCAGGATGGTGTGTGGGTTTGGTGGGATGTGTCTGAAGACCAGTGGTCAGGCCATGTGCTCTGTCCATGTTCTTCCTCACACCCACCTCACCGCCAAACGACATCCCTTGCCGCCTTTACAGGCAAATACTTGTCTTCTGGGGTTTGCCCCCAGATAATGTCACTGTGGTCACAGAAGTCACAGAGGAACCACACTCATGCTGCACTCCTCCCCAGGCTGGGGTGCCTGCCTGCATTCTCCTTGCCATGCTTCTGGGTAGCTCTCCTCAGCCTCTCCTATCTGCACTGAGGTAGCATAGACCTGGATGTTCAAGGCTAAAGAGTGACAAGGTAGCCTATTAGAGGCCACTGCCCAGAATCCTCATGGGAGCAGGGTATGCAGGAGCCGGTGCCTGCCATGGCCATGGGAGGTGAAAGATGAGTCAGGTCTGGGGGCAGTGCGTCATGGAGTAAAGGTAGAGGTGACCTTGACGTTGCCATGATCATGGAGTGTTTCTGTGGCAAGAAGAACAAACCGAGTGCGGCTCCAGAGAGCAAACTCTGGGCCCAGGGTCCCAGGGGCCTGTTCCGTCCGTTCTGCATATGTTCTCCCTGGGCCTCCATGTCTTGAAAGGCACAGCAATACCTTCACCTGACTTCTAATCACTGCTGCGGCAGCTACATGGCACAGCTGGTAGGAAATGAAACCAGCAATGTCCTGGCAGATTTCTTGTCCCTCTGGAGCTGAGAAAGGCACAAGGGAATGCCTCGTGAGTACATTCCAGGGAAATGGCAGCAAACACCTTCCGCCTGCTCTGCGGAGATATCTTAGGGGCAGAGCCCAGGCTTGGGTCCACGCCTTCCCTCTCCCATGGCACAATCCACACTCCCTCCTTCCCTCTCTTCCTAGTGGGCCAAGAGCCAGGACCAGGGAGACCTAGTCATGTCTTCCTACTGCCTATCTCATCCAAGGACTTCAGGAATCCTTGAGACCTCTCCCTATGCTTCTCCCTAGCTGGACCCCAGAGGGACCTGCTGGTCTTCCACATCTGATCCCAACCACAGGCTTCCAGTACCTGCAGCTCTCTGAGCCAGGGAAGAGTCTTCAGGGAAATAGGGGCAGCTCCTCCCAACCTTGATCGCCTTTCTCCACTTCTGCTCTTGTAGTTCACCTGGGGCCAGACACAAGGACCCATCCTGAGAGACTATGCCAGCTCTCTGCCAGCTCCTTGCAGAGGGTGGACGACATGGGTTTTAGGGAGATCCCTCTTCTAGCCAGCCTGCTTTCTGGGGATCATGGGGAGGCAGACAAGATGCTGGACAAGGCATGTCGGGGCTGGGCCATGTCTCTGGGCACGGAGCATCTGGGTCTGTGTAGGGCCCCAGTGGAAAGAAGTGGGCTTCCTAAGCCCTTGTCACTACAGAGGGCCTGATAGAAAGGACACTGGACTAGGAGCCGGGAAACTAGAGTTCTAACTCAATAGGGCCCCTGTCTTCTGTAACCTGGAGCTAGTTGGCTGGCCTCTCGAGACCTCAGTTTCAGCATCTATAGGAGGAGAGAGTTAGGTCAGCAGTCTATTATTGCTGTGAGTTTCACCTGAACCTTCCCTGACCTCTGAGAGTGTGGACTGAGTGGATAGATCCTCCAGATGCCTGGACACCTATAAGGCTTTCGATCATTGCCCACCCTGCTGTCTGATTTGGGACAGAAGGCACTAGACTCAAGGGACTTTGGGATCCCTTTGGGTTCTGATCTGGTATTTGTTCATTCAGCTAAAAATGTTGAGCAGCTACCTTGTGCCAGAACCTGAGAGTCTAAAGGAAGGCCACCAGATCCCCCTCAAAAGGATGTACTGCCTTGAGACAGAAGATCAGTGCCTCTCTGCCCCTCCCCCGATGCTCCACTCCCAGCTCCCCCAGGCCAGAAACCCCTGTCCCCACAGGCTTTGCCAGGGCTGTGGATCTTACTGCCTTGTTTCTCACACCACCTCCCAGTCAAGTCTGCCTGCTTGTGCTGAGCCCAGAGCCTCTTCCAGGGCAGTCACAGCATTGGCAGCTCCCTGTGTGAATCCAGAGATGTGAGGAGGGCAGTGGATGGACCCTGAAGAGGCCTCTAGATCCTCCAAATGGCCTGTCCTCGCCCAACCCCAAACTTGGGACCTGCTCAGGGAGGTAGAAATTACTTGGAGAAGACTTCTTCTGTTTCCTTCTTCCGTAAAGGGGTGGGGCCATCTTCAGGTCTAGACTTGGAGTTAACACTGGGAAAGGACAGACCAGAGGGATCTGAGCCTCTTGACCCTCCATGATTGAGAGGAGTCACTGCCTCACTGTGACCACCTTGAGCACCGAGGACCCAGGCCACACCCTTGTCTCAGGTTCTCAGATAGCAATGGTCAAGGGCAAGGTGGGTGCAGACAGTAGGGGTTACCAACAGGCACAGGGAGAGGGGACACAGTTGGAGGTGGGAGCCGGACTCCAGTCTAGCCCTCGCCCACGGCCTCTTTCCACATTGCAGGAGCCTTCCTGTTAAAGACCTTGCGGTAGACAGTGCCTCTCCTGTGTACCAGGCTGTGATTAAGCACCAGAGCAAGCCGGAAGAGGAGGCTGATGAATGGGCCCGCCGTTCCTCCAACCTGCAGTCTCGTTCTTTCCGCATCCTGGCCCAGATGACTGGGACGGAATTCAGTGAGTGAGGGCTGTCAGGGGTGAGCACAGAAATGGGAGATGCTGAGGGGTCCGTGAGGGTCCTGGGTTTGGCTCTGCAGAAGCCAGGGAGCCCAACCACCAGACCAGGAAAATGGGCCGCCCTTGATGGATGGATACTAGTGGCCGGTGGAGCTCCTCTGGGCCTTTCAGACAGTCTGTCCAATGACGGCAGTCTTCTGCTCCACTCCTGATTCCAACAGTGGGCAGCAGGATTGTCATGCAGCTTCCAGGCCAAATGACTGCCCATGGCTAGGATGAGGACCTTAGGCCGCACCCCTGACTCCCTCCCAACGTGCCTGGGCCCTCTGCCCAGCACACAGTCTTTGCTTGCCACAATGGACAGGCTGGGGGACAGTGACTGTGCAGGGCCTGGCTGAATCCTGGGGATTCAGTGTCCACAGAGTTGCAGCAGTTTTTCTTGTTGTGTTCCCTCTTATCTCCTGACCACCCCCTTTTCTACCCACAGTGCAAGACCCTGATGAGGAAGCTCTGCGAAGGTCAAGGTAGGTACCTGGACTCAGATCCATGGCCTTGCCCTCTAACCCCATCCCTCCCAGAGTAGCCCCCAGGCCACATAACTCATGGAAGGAACCTCTCAAGTTCATGGATTTGGAAAGCCTGGCCCTTAAAGGGCTCCAGCAGATGCTGACTTGAGGCAGCCATCCTGGGTCAGTGAAGCAGGTCCCTGGACCTGAGTCTCTATCCCCCAGGCCCAGGCTACAGGAGTGAAGGCTCTGGGCTCTCCTGGCTCTGTCCCCGGGCAGGGGCAGGGCTGCTTTGGCCTTCGCTGGGCTGTTGAGAATGAGGGCATCTCTCCATGTGAGGGCACCAGGCTGGGCACTTTGCCTACCCACACATCTCAGGGCCTGTCCCCCTGTGAGTCTGAAGACTGGGCACTGGGAAGCAGGCACACAGGGAGATATACTGGGCATGAATGCCTGATCCCTGATCTCACCTGTCCAAACCTACATTGATGTACCGGTTCTGTAAATTACTCAAAGCAGAACAGCTGCTAAAAGGAATGAGGGAGGGGCTGTGCAGAGCTGGGGGCTCAGGGCAAGGCTTCCCCTATCAGTGGCAGGTCTGAGGCCACAGCCACGAACCTACCATTGTGGCCCATCATGGGCTCTAGGGAGGCCCGTCAGGCACTCATGGCCCTGGGCATGAAGGAGGCATGTTGCCCTGGAACCCCCTGGAACCCGCTTGGGTCTTCCACGGTGAGGCATGGGGCTCAGTGTGATTGTATGTACACTTTCTGGTAGCAAATATGTCGTCTGCATGCTCTTCCTGGCACAGTCTACCTTGGGCCAGCACATCCTGTGGCAGCCTTTCTGTGAGGGGCTGGGGCTCAGGGATGCTCTTCTACCCAGGGCCAAGCTTTCTGTCCTTGCTAACTAGCTCATAGTAGGACTCTGGGGCCAGTCCGGACTCGTTGGGGACTGTATTTTTGAATCTATATTTTCCCAACCCATGTTGCTCCCACTTTTTGGCCAGGCAGCTGAGCCCAAAGTGTGGTCTTCTCAGGCCTGCTGAGGAGGGCATGGCAGTCTCAGCAACAGTTTTTAACCCTTCAGTGCCTGCAGTGCTTCTAAACAGAGTCTGAAATGAGATGTTTGATTTAGCTCAAAAGTCAAGACCTAGCTATTTTATGTGTGACTGATCTCTCAGCTTTCCCCACCCCCCATGCTCTGCTGTCCCTGTGTGCTATTCCCGTGTGTATCCCACCCTCCTCTTCACAGCTGTGTGTATAGATAGATGCTTCAGTGAGCAATGTACCTATTCCCAAAGACCTGACAAAGGGAACTTTACATCATACACCCCAGAGAAAACAGCTTAAAAATCACCCAGTTTCCTTCCATCAAGTGGTCAGTTGGGGACTTTTTTCTTCCCTCCCACAAGACACAGAGATCTGCCTTTCTGGCCCCCGCCATCCTCTTCTGGTTACTTTATATTCTCCGATATGCAGGGCCGTCACTCTAAGCTTGTGTCTCACTAACCAGACGTCACTAGAAGGAGGGAGGGGCCGTGGAGGTAGAGTACAACAAACTCTTGTCTTTTCTGTTTCCCCTTGGGTATTTGCTCTGCAAAGTTAAAGAGTGAGGAGAATACAAAGACAGTAGTAAGGGCAGTCCCCAAGCTTCATCACTGGCCTTCCCCTTCTCTCCCTCCAGAAGTATTTCTTGAGGCTTTTTCTGCCTGGACTTGTAGATATGTGAGGGGTTGGCAGGTAGTCCTTCCTCTGAGGACCTAACCCCACACAGTTGGTTCGGCCCCAGCAAAAGGCAGTGGGTCTTGAAAATTCTGTTGCAGCTTTCGGAGCCTTTCCCCCAGCTGCTGTGGGATCTTGTCACAGGGAAATCTGGAAAGAGGGCCCAAGAGTCCCAGGCAGCTTCCCTCAATAGGCGCCATGTAACCATCAGCTCTTGCCCCCAGGGATCTCAGGTCCTGAGTGAAGTCTCTGGGGGCACCCAGCAAGTCTTCTACCCAGGACCAAAGAGGCTACTCTCCCTTTTCCTGATTTTAATTTCTGGAGGGTTGTCCTCACAGGAAGAGCCATCCATGTCTCTGAGTCCCAAGCAGCCAAGGGACCCAGGAGTTGAGGGGTGAGGGAGGGTGCAGTGGGGTACAGCAGTTCAAGTTTGTTCATGATTAAAATCTGAAAGAGTCACTGTGGCCATTGGTCACAGTGGAGGCCCTGCGCTTACTCAAGTGGCCATCTAAGCAGAAGGCAGCACTCTTGTCCTCATCCTGGTCGGGGTTCTTGCTCCTGAGCTACACTTCTATTTGTTCCCACTCCCAGGTTGGAAGCTGCACCCCTGGACCCTGCTGCCCTATCTTATTAGCTGAGGGCAGCCACTGCCTCCTCTCTTTCTCCTCCCAAATTAGCATCACTCCCAGCAAGGATTCTAAGGGTCTCTCATGAAGACTGGATTACCCCAGGGAGGCTACACTGCAAACTGCTTCCAAGTATCTTATTCCAGCAGAGCCTAAGTTTGCCAAGCCTGCACAATCTTAGAGTTCAAAGGTGCTTTCTCCTTCCTGCTACTGTGTGGTGAGAAAGTTGGTAGGAATGTTGAATGAGTAGTAGCAGGCATTCTGTACCAGCCAGGGACACCAGCGACCTTGAGGTCAGGTCTGAATGCTCATGTCATTCAGACCTTGCAAACTCTCTACTCACCTCCATGACTGTTCTCCCTCCAAGGCTCACTCCCCACAGACTCCCAGAGCAGTTCACAGCCCTCCTCTCCTCTCAAGTTCTAGCTCTCAATGGTGCATTTGTGTCTGATAGCACATAGCTTTCCTTTAAGGCACAAGTGCCCACCTGCTGGCCAGCCCAAGGCAGAGTCTAATCTCCAGGGACCATCTCTCTACAGGTGAGGTAGGAAGAAGCAGGGTACTGAACAGCTTAGGCATCAGAGCTTGGTCTCTAAAAAGATCCCAGCACCTTAGAAAACCAACCACACCAGTTTGAACATCAGCCTCCTTTCTGCTTTCACACAGGAGCCACAGGTGATGCTGTGACTCCTCAGTTTCCATCTGACATAGCTGAAATAGTGCCTCCTCCCCACAAGCTGAGCCCCTAATCTCAGGGAGGTTGTCACAACTTTCCTCTGGCTTCTGGAAGGCATTCCAGGGCCCTGATGACCTGGAGGGTCAGGTCCACATTGGGCAGCCACCATGGGAGAGTGGGCTGGGGTAAGCAGGGCTCTCTCCTAGGCAGGGCTTGAATCTGTAAGCCAGCTGCATCCCTCTGCTGAGGTGTAACCATCCTGAAGCGTACCCAGCGTACAGCTCAGACACATGCCCTGCCCCCGCCTTGTGGTACAACTGCCTGTAAGTGCAATCTCTGTGTTCCCCTGATGCCCACCTGACTAAAGGTACTGCATCTCTCCCTCCTAAGTGTTGAGGAGCGATGTTAATTTTGATGAAGAGTCCCTAGATGTGTTGAAGGTGAGAATTGCATCACATACCCCTCCTCAAACAACATAAAAATCCTGCACCCTTCTTCGTTGTGGTGCCATCAGGGGTCTTCCCACAGAATGCTGGAGCTCCCTGACTCCTCCTCCTCCCTCCTGCAGCCTCTCTCGGCATGCCGATGCCCTCTTCCCTCCCCGTGCTGTCATCCTTCAACATCGTCCCCACTCCAGCCACCACGTGTACGCGTCGGCACACTGTGCCCTCCCTCAGACAGGACTTTCAGGAGGAAGCAGTCACAAAAGTTACCTGCATTTTGTGAATTTTTAGTCCCTGCTGTTCTGCCAGCCTAGCACGCTTGAAAACCACAATTTGGAGAGCCCAGGACACCCCAGGTGTTACCACCTGAGCAGCCCTAGTGGGGTCCCAGTCTTCTTCCTTTTTCTTGTTCTCCTGTCTCTCTTTCCCTCTCTCCTGTGCCTTCCTCTCCCCGCTCCTTTCTTTGGCTAGTTGAGGATTTCTAAACAGCTCCAAGCAGAGCAGGCTTACTAGAACCACTGACTCTGGGACTATCCCTAACCCTAAACACTGATGACATACTGTCACCCAGCCACCGGCCTTATTAGGACTGACAATTTACAGGTAGTAAATTGGTTTTGTGTGTGCTTGTCCTGGGTAGTCTCCATAGGAATTTCATGACTGTTTGCAGAACGGTCAGCAGGGCTGTGTGGGCCCTGCCACAGGGCCTTTGTTCATGCCATCTTCACCCCTTCACCCAGACCTCCAAGAGACAGGTATAGGGAAAGAGAAGAAGACATTCAGCACTCAGGTCATGGTCCTGTCATTGAATTTCTGTGTGTCTCTGAGCCTCAGTTTCTTCTTGGTATAGGGAAAGTTTGGACTAGACAAGTGGTTTTCAAATATGTTGACTTCTTTTGTAAAATAGTCTTGTGCAGAGACAGAATATGGGTAGAAGACTCAAGGATTAGAAGGAGAGTCTTACAGGCAAGGTAGATGCAGGAAAGTGGACCTCCATAAGTGTGGGGGCACAGAAGCTGGTCCCCGATGACTGTTACTATGCAGAAATATAAGCCCAGTAGCAGCACCACATCTTCTGATCTTCAGAGGCCTAAAGTTGATCTTCCTGATTTTTATGTGCTGGCAATTCACTTTTTAAATTCAACTTTTCTTTTGAGATAGTTATCAATTCATGTGCACTTGTTTAAAAAAATAGCACAGACATCCCACGTGCCCTTCACCCAGTTTCCCTCAATGATAGCAGCTTGCACAATGAAAGCACAATATCACAACAAGGATGTTGATGTTGATACAGTCAAGACATAGAACATCCCATCACTACAGGATTTCCCATGCTGCCTTTTTTTTTTTTTTTTTTTT